CTCTGGCAACACCTATCTTACAATGTCCTGTATCCAATAGTCCTACATTTCCATTAAACTGTTAAATGAAATATTGTTGTGGTGTGGTCTCTGCTAGTGAAAAAGCTGTCAATGTCAACTATTTATGTATGTATTGATATGTTTTTGCCCGTAAGAGCACTGCAGGATGCAAATGTTCTCCTCTAAAAGACAGACATGAAATAATTTGAAACATGTTTGCCGCTTCTTAATGCAGGGTGATTTCCATCTGCTCCTGATTGAAAAGTCTAAAAAATTGCAATAAAAATATTAGGAAAAACATTACAACTGTCGGGTTTGGAATTATGCAGGTGCTAAATGTGACTAACGGTATATCTCATGAGACTCCACAGAAAGAAGTCACTTCAAATTGGAGGCCAGATAATTGTCAGCTCTCTTGAGAGAAGTGTGGAGCTGATTAATTTGGCTCATCATATGATCACAGATCTGAACACTATTCCCAGACTATTGCAGCAGTGGGCTTGTTATGTGCAATGTATGTACCAGTCCAAAAATGTTCATACAAGCAAAAAGGGACGTGTGAGGATTAAACGTGAGCTTGGACAGAGAGAGAGAAAATAGGAAATGTAAGGTAAAGTCAGGAATAAAAGGACAAAAATAAATAAATGTATTCATTTTAAAAAATAAATAAATGTATTTATTTTTAGACTGTCAATTGACTTTGAAGGTTTCCATGATGCAAGACTGTCATTCTACTGATCATAGTCCAGTCAGACCAATCAAATGAAGGCTTTTTGTGGGATTTAATGCAAAGTGAGTTCCGCACTTGGTGAATCTTGGAAAGGTCAACCTACTGGGGGTGAAGGTGACCTCCCCTCCGTAGGTGACCTTCTGAGCAACAGCTCTGACAGTTTTCCGGTTGATGTCAGGCAATGTAAAATAAAAACACAATATACAGTAAGCGAGTTTATATATTCACATGGTTCATCTCTTCTGCTCTCAATGACCGGAGTGTCAAAATTGTTCACCTTCTCCATTGATAGTATTTAAGACTGCACTTGTGTATGAAATAACAGCGCAGGCAGAAATCTGTTTAAGTGGCAGCCCTGAGTGCAGTGCTACTCAAGGTAGTGTAGATACAAGTGGATGACACTGAAGGTAAATAAGGTGTTCAACCTTGAGCCTCCAGAAGTGTTGGGAATTCCACTTGTGTTTTGATGTGTTTGATGTGTCTTATTTTGATGATAGTCGAGAGCGCTGTCTAATGCGTTGCTCCAAAATCTCCCACAGTTAAATTGGGCTGAGATGTGGTAACCATAGCGTATGATTAACATAATTTTCATGTGAGCTGTGACCTTTGGATGGAGGTACAGTCATCCTGGTAGAGAGCACACCCATCAGGATAGAAATGCCCCCCCCACAATGCAATAGAGTTACCAGTGCCATATGTGCACTAACCCACTTGTTGAAGGATGACTCACCTGACTATATACATTTTTTCTCCATATTTCTATAGAACAGCCTGTGGTTTCTGCACTGTGGAACTCCCATGTGTGCACACGTCTTAATGAGTCACAGATTTATTCCTCTCGCCATCTCGATGTAAAATCAAACTCCTGCTCCGGCCTGCTTACCATTTTTAGACATGTTGCAGGGAATGATAAGATGTTGCTTGCTGAATTGTGTCATGTACTACATCTCATTTACTCAAGATTTTAATTGATTCAAGTTCTTTCACTTGCTTGTAACTTCCTTCTTGTGGGTTTTTATTTTCAACAATCAATAATTTAAAATCCAGATTAAATAAAAAAGGCCTTTAAATTAATATTACTATCTGTGTAATATTCTACCCCTACTAAACAATGTATGCCAACAAAATTACAAAAAAATATTTCTTTGTATTTTTATATCGAAATACAATATTTTTTTTATTTTTGTAAAGCATCAACCAGCCATGCTTCAACCATTTCAACCAATAATATAATTCAACCATCAATGAATATTCAACCTTTAGCAACACAGAGCTAAGATTTATTAGTTAGCTAGCTAACGTATTATTCTTTACGTGCACCCTGGTATGAAAAGTTTGGACAGATACAAACACATTCAGACTGAACATCCATCCTACCTGTGCTGCTCTGGATGGTTCTTACAGTGGTGGCAGATGTGCGCGGTGGAGAGGATGGCAGCAGGAGCAGCGGCCTCCCTCCCTCTCCTTCCTCTTCCCCGGCGCAGCCTTGGTCGATTGCCCTCACATAGCTGTGGCTTCGCATCCGGAAGCATCCCGGCATGGGCAAGGTGTCCATGGTATCCATACTGTCCATGGCAGCCTCCATGGCCTGGGACTGCATCTCGCTGTAGACCTGCTCACACACCTGCTCAATCTGCCCGTTCACCTCGACCTCACTCAGCTGGACGAGGAGCAGGCAGAGAGAGAAGAGGGGAGAAACAGAGGGAGCAATGAAGAGGGTGGACCTCTGGAAGGGGTTTGGTATAATCTCCCAGACCCAAACAGACCTGCAAACTCGGGCCCCCATGTGTAAGGATAGTGGCAGTTTTACTGACAATAAAGAGATTGATAAAATGCTGTGTAATTAACAAATTTGTGGACTGTTGTTGTTAGCATGCTAACCATGCTAGCTCTTTCTCATCATTTTTAAAAATGTTGTTTGATGCACATATACATCTGATGTCTTGCTTTCTCTTTAAGACAAATTGTCCCACTATTCTTTTTATTTTCCAATCACATTTATTTAAATTGAAATAAATTGTGGGAAAAAAGTGGATCTCAACTGCAAGACAAAAGCATATTGTAGCAAGGGGGGTAATGGGAAGTGGGGCCAGGTTCAGGATGAGTAATACAAGTGGAGGTTCAAGGTCAGGTTAAGGTGGGACAAATGAAGGCTTATGGGGCACAGCTTCATTCCATGTGCTGTAGCTTTGAAGAAAAGCTTCAACGGTAGCCTACCAGGAGGAAGTGCAGAGTAACATTCATTATAGGTGCAGTAGGGAGAAGCAATTCACAACTGCTGCAGTGGGGTTAAGAGCATATTACCTCAAAATATGATTGAAAAATACTTATATTTTGATCATGGGTAAAAGGCCACGACCATGGCCTCATCCATTAATTATATCCCTCCTAACCTACATTAAAGCTGGAGTAGGTAACGTTTACAAAAATAACTTTTTGTCATATTTGCTAAAACTTTCACGGTATCCTGACAGTAGTACATTAGACAGATTTAATTTTTTCAACAAAGATGACCTACTGCAGCATTAAGTTAGGTACATATTCAAAGAGGAATACAATGGAAAAATGGGTTGCATTGTCTCCTTTCCTGGTGTCACTGTATAGTGTTTTTATTGTCAATAAAACCATAAAAGACCAAAACCTACAAGTACAGTACATTACTTCTGACTACTCTCAAAACTTCAAGCCCATTGTTTCGAACAGAAGATGGAAATCTTTAAGGCTCACAGATTTCTAAATTTTTAAAATAGACTCAATCATTTCTTAAAACATCTGGACATGAAACAATTGTTACTCAAAAACAAGGAAATTTGTTTGATTTGTGGCAGATTAATACTCATTTTTGTGGTATAAACTAAACTAAAATAAACTACATTGTGGCTCAATGATGTGTTTTTAATAGTTTTTGGACAATGATTGAGTTATATGGCACAGAAGGAGAAGATCTGGCTTGCATACAATACTTGTTAGCAGATACATCCATTGTTGGTTTGGCTCTGCACATGGGATTTGTTGACAATAAGAAAAATATTAACTATTACCAGACGTGTCCTTTAAGAAAACACGTGATGGAAGTATTTGTGGAGTTGGAAACATGACCCTTATCCTCAGTATCAACCTTACAGTGCAGAAATGCTGGTGCACTGTGCACAGACCTGGGCTCAGATAGTATTTGAAACCATTTTCAAACAAGGATGAATGCACTGTTTGATGACAAATGACACTCATTCCTGTCTATTATAAGGTGCGCATTTAGTAAATCCCCCAGCCCAGAGATGGGTAGACCTTTTTGCCTTGTATATGCACCACTACACCTGTGGGCATAGCATATCACTGATAGCTTCAATCTTTAGTTCTTAGCCCTCTTAGCCATCTCAGTCCTTTAGAACTTCAAACCCCAACAATCTCATTTTCCTGAGAATGACCCTTCCTAAGTCCTGCCCCTTTTTGCTCTGTGCCACAGTTGAGCAGGCCTCGGTCAGAATCTGTCAACTTTCTCTTTTCCTGTATTTTGATATGCTATATACTAGGCGCGTCTATGTTGAAAAGACAACATGATGATTGGTTTTAAGCCACATCTTTGCATAGCTTATGTTAGATAATGTCACTAAAACACCACCTAACTTGCTAGCTAATGTACATTAATTGTTAGCTAGCTAATTAGCTAGTATTTTGCCAACATTTGCTATCAAATGTAACTAGCTAGCTAACAATCAACATAGATTAGCTAGCTAGCCAGCCAGATAACTAGCTTGCTAACGATTGATATAGGTTAGCTAGTGAGTTAGCTAGCGTTTTGTTAACATTAGCTAACTTAAGATATAACTGTGTATATGTCGCTTTTAAACATCTTTAAAATTGTGGTTGTATTTTCAACACAGATTAGCCTAGCACATAACATATCTAAGTAGCCTACAGGAAAGGAGAAAGTTGATTGGGTTTTCACCAAGGCTTGCTAAACTGTTAAAAAGGGGTTGGTCTTAGGAAGCTTCAATTGTGGTAAGTTTAAACTTCTACATATCTTTGGCATCTGAACAAACCCAATCTCATTGTTGATGACAATGTGATATGGTCAAAAGTTATATATCAAATGAGTAAGTGGACCTTGAAATATCCTGATTTCCAAAGTAATTTCTCATTTGGATTGTTTAGGTCCAAAGCAAAGCTGCAGTAAAAGTTAAAAAAAAAAATAATGGTATATATTTCTATGTTGGAACAGTGAACCTAATAACACAACTGGTCATACTGTATATCATGCCCAAGCTTTCAATAGGTTGGCATTGCTTTGAGTCCAAGTCTCTGTGTATCTATAGTGAAATGACTGAGTGGGCATAGTGTGGCAGGCAGCAGTGTTGGCAACCAACCTGACTGATGGTGCTCATGGCCCTCATGTAGCTTTCATTGCGTGAGCGGTATTGGGGTGAGGACAGCAGCGATTTGGGGTCGAGGAGGGTTTTGGGGTCCAGGGTATCCAGGCTTCTATTGATTGAAACCTCACTCACCGCACGCAGGTAACTGTGGCTCCTGATCTGCAGTTTGGGGGAGTGCTCCGTCGAAATCCTGACACAGGGACGACAGCAATGTAGACACAAGGTTACCTCTGAAATTAGTCAACATTGTAATTCTTCTTTTACAGTCAAAGCAGTGGTCACCATCCATGAAATCAGCTTTGGTGTGCAACTCCCTATACCTACCCTATACCTTGTAGTACAATGGCAACAGTGGTTCATTCAGTGTTTCCATTTGGTGGTTTTATCAATATGGCTGCTGAGATTTCAGATCAAACAGACAATTTCTTTGCATAACTATTAACAATTAACATTTGTATTATAGCGTGAACCAAGTTTCAAGCTGCAAAGATCAAACACATGTCTTAAATGTGGCAGTGTCAAAAATGACCAAATGAAGAATATAAAGCTCATCATAATCGAGTGATTCTGGTTCAATGCACGCAGCTGTGGCTCAGAGGCAG